GGGTTTGCTGGCAGGACCTGTGACACTGCGGGTGACCCAAGCTGGAGCAGTCTGTTCCTAAAGGATTGCAACCCGTGGAAAGGGCCCACGCTGGAGCAGTCCATGGGAAGAACCCATGCTAGAGAAGTTCGTCTCCCACGGGAGGGACCCCATGCTGAAGCAGAGGAAGAGTGTGAGGAGGAAAGAGCAGCAGAGGCAACGTGTGATGAACTGACCACATCCTCACATCCCTGTCCCCCTGCACCGCTTAGGGGGAGGAGTTAGAGAACTCGGGACTAAAGTTATACCTGGGAAGAAGGGAGGGGTGGGAAGGAAGGTATTTTAAGATTTACATTTTTATTTCTCATTACCCTACTCTGATTGGATTGGTAATAAATTAAATCATTTTCCCCAAATCGAGTCTGTTTTGCCTGTGACGGTAATTCCTATCTCGGAAGGTTCCTATCTCAACCCATGAGTCTTTTGTTATATTTTCTCTCCCCGGTCCAGTTGAGGAAGGGAAGTGATAGAGCAGCTTTGGTGGGCACCTGGTGTCCAGCCAAGGTAAACCCACCACAGCCAGTCTTTACTGTTTTTTTATAACAAGCCTTAAAACTAGATTTGATAAACTTAGTCCTTCATCAATAATGACATATACCAGCTTCAGCATCACTGAAATACTTAGTGATTAGACCATATTAAAAACACTGTGAAAAAGCATTTTAAAATTTGATTTTGTGTTTTCTCCTCATTCCCCTAACCTATTCAAACATGCAACAGGAGGAGAGGGAGGCATGTGCAAATGCCTGTACAGAGCTACCTACTATTGCTGTTAATATGGGACAGCTTTTTGATAGCCCATACTTACAGTGAGGCGAGGACATTTTGACTTGGCAAAAACTCCCATGAATATATCAGGGGCATTGAACTCCTGAAGAAATAATGCGACATCCTGTGGAGAAAGTGAACAGAGAAGTAAATGGACTTCTACAATTTCCAAACACAAAATCAAACCTTTTCTCACAGCACTTGGACTGGATCAAAGAGATGTCAAACTCACTACAAGAGAACAGTTATTCCCCAACAGTTAATACCAATAATCCTTGCCTTTCAATAAGAGAAGATCAGCAAGCCCCTATGGTGATTTAGGACGCCAGTGATTTGCTACACGAGCCAAAAAGTCACATTTAGTTTCTTTTGCTCTCTGTCTCTACAGAGGGTCAGAGACACTAAATCAGAATTCAGCAAATACCAAATATGAGGGAAGGGATTACCATTAGCACTTGATCAGAGCATACAAAAGAGCAAATCTCCTCCTCATTTTGCCACATTAAACCACAAGATTAGTCCGCTATTTGTGAGTAAAGGACACATCTTCCATGTTTATTTAAAATTTCTAATAAAGAGCCAGGGAATAAAATAATAATTTTATATATATATATATATATATATTTTACATGAGAATTTGTTCCACCATTTAAGAATGTTGAGAAAAATACCAGAAAGTTATGCTAGATTTCCATTGTGAGTCTGTACCTAAAGTTTAAAAGGTTGTTTATCTATCAGAGAAAACTATGCTTACTAACAGGATGCATTACAACTGTTAGAGGAAAATATGCCTACTTAGAGATGGCGTCAATATTTTCTCCATAATCAAACTGCTGAAGATACAGGCTATGCACCCGAGTTCATTTCAGTTACAGCTAAGGTACTGTCGAAAACTATGAGCTTTGGCTCAACTCCTGCACATAATACAGAAAACCAACAGGCCTCATTATGCCATATTGACCCTAAGCAATAGCACGACAGGATCCATTAGACACCTGGGGGAAGGTCTGGCAGACCACATTGTTTCTTTAACATTTACACACAGCTCTACTTTGTATCTTCAAACAGCAGCATGGCATCCAGCAGCTAGGATGCAACAGAAGGCCTCCTTTTGCAAACTAGTGCTGCACCTAAGAGTGCATACAAAGTACTTGCTCATCTTGAAGCGCAGCCTTCGTGATGACCCTGCTTGATGCCAAGCACGGGCTCACCACACCTCCTCTGCCTAATGACTCACAGGACACTGTCAGCCAAACCAGAGAATAAGCAATATCATCTAAATCAGAAAGCTGACCGAGTCCGTTTAACTCTGCACCTTCTCTTGCTTCCAGAAGGATTCTGCTGAACACACGCCACAACAGAAACACGGCAGAAGCCACCCGTAGCCGTGAACCACCCTCGAGGTTCAACTCCTGTACATCGCTCCTACCTCGTCCATCGACATGTCCCACACTTTGCAGATGTCGTTCTCCATCTCTTCGTCCAGCTCTGTGTGGATTCCCTCCGGGCTCACAGTGGGCTCCACCTTCTCGGGGCTAATAACCTGAGAGAAAACGGGGGGGGGCGGCACGTAGGCGTACGGCGGTACGTGAGCTAGGGCCGAGAAACGCCACGAAACGCTAACCACGGCCTATCCCGTCAGTCACGGTTTAAAACCCCCCACACACAACTAGGAAAGCCGTGCGTCGCGTGCGCCCCCCGGTAACGGTCGCACCGCACGCGCCAGGCGCTGACCGTTACCGGGCCCGCGGGGCTCTCCCCCCACC